GTTACAGGGCCATAACATGCCCAGAGCATCCTGAGGGTAATTCTCTGGTACTGGGTGCAGCAGTATGCTGTTTCAGAAGATTAGAGCAGTTTGAAACAGGAAAGGTAGCTCTCTAGGTACTGTCCATGTGCACTCTGCACTGCTTTTCCAAAACCAGGAAACTCACTGGAGCTCTTTTCTGTTCCCCTTGTTTAACCCCTGTAGTTTTGGAGTTTATTAGTGCCCCTAAGTGAAAGCATTATCTTACCACAAAGATTAGGCCTTATGAACCCCTTAAAGCAGGGGTATCAAAGATAAGCCTGTAAACCAGATCTAGCCCCCGGAGCCATGTCATCCTGCCCATGGGACTCCCCAGGGGGGCTGGAAATCTGGTGGTGGAACAAGCTGCAGCATAATTAATTGCCAGAGCTCCTAGAGCTCTGGCAATTAATACTGTTGCTGCTCCTCCCACCACCAAACTTCAAAGCAAAAAAACAAATATAGTTATTGGAACCTGCACTGATTTGCTAGCATATATGTTATAAAAAACCCCCAAAACAACCCACAACAAACTGGGGAAAATAGTCAAAAGATATTGTTATTAGCCCTGTAGCTGTTATAGTTAAGCATACATTTCTTATTCAAATTAATAAAACAAAATCTAGCCTTCTTGAGCATCTTGACAGTGCCTCCAATACTTCACTGTGGGTCATTTCTACACCTGAGTAAATACTACCTCACATGTCAAAGGCAGGGTGTCAAAGTCTTGCAGCAAGGCAGCAGCCCTAGACTTCAGGAGGGCAGATTTCAATGAGGTAAGGAGACTAGTCGGGGAGGCACTGAGGTCCCAGAGGGGAGGGGATTTGGGAGTCCAGGAAGAGTGGTCATTCCTGAAGTAGACGATCCTCCAAGCCCAAAGGGTGACAATCCTCACATGGATCAAAGGGGGCAGCAGTGCTCAAAAGCCCCCATGGCTCACCAAAAGCATCCAGGAATGTCTCAAAGCTAAAAAGGAGGTGTAAACCCAATGGAAGCGAGGGGCCATCACCAAGGAGGATTATACCTCCATTGCCCGAGATTGTAGGGGGGCTGTTAGGATGGCTAAGGCGGAGATGGAACTGGGACTAGTGACCCGGATCAAGAACAATGAGAAGTCCTTTTTTAAATACATAGAGGGTAAAAAAGAAGGTAATGGGTAACATAGGGCCTCTGCAGGATACGCTAGGAAATCTGGTGGTCACACCAGATGACAAAACTAACCTCTTTAACAATTTCTTTGCCTCCATCTTCTTGAGCAGGGACCAGGGCATCCCCCACACTGGGATCCCTGAGGGACCCAGGGGAGGTGCTGCCAGCCCCAGGGTCAGTGAGGACCTAGTCAGGGAACTTCTGGTGGGTCTAGATGTGTTCAAGTCAGCAGGTCCTGATGATCTCCACCCCAGAGTGCTGAGGGAATAAGCAGAGGTCATTGCAGGACTCCTGGCACAGCTTTACAAGCACTCGTGGTATTCTGACGAGGTGCCAGAAGACTGGAAAAGGGCCAATGTGGTCCCCATTTTCAAAAAAGGGAGGAAGGAGGACCCAGGAAACTACAGGCCCGTTAGTCTTACCTTGGTCCTGGGGAAGGTATTTGAGAAAATTATCTAGGAGCACATCTGCGAGGGACCAGCAGGGGAGATCATGCTTAGGGGCAACCAACATGGGTTCATTTGAGGCAGGTCCTGTCAGACCAACCTGGTGGCCTTCTATGACCAGGTCACAAATTTCTTGGACGCAGGTGTCATGGTGGACGTAGTCTTTCTGGACTTTAGGAAGGCCTTTGACACTGTCTCTCACCCCATTCTTATTAAGAAATTAGGTGACTGTGGCATCGATGCCTACACAGTCAAATGGGTCGCCAGTTGGCTGTAGGGCCACACCCAGAGAGTGGTGGTAGATGGGTCTTCTTCCCTGGAAGGATGTGGGCAGTGGGGTCCCCCAGGGCTCAGTCCTCGGGCCCGCACTGTTCAACATCTTCATCAGTGACTTGGACAAGGGGGTGAAAAGCACTTTGTTCAAATTTGTGGATGACATTAAAATGTGGGCAGAAGTGGGCACGCTGAAGGAGAGGGACAGGCTGCAACTAGATCTAGACAGGTTATAGGGGTGGGCAGATGAGAACAGAATGGGATTCAGTACTGACAAGTGCAAGGTACTGCACCTGGGGAGGAAGAACCAGCAGCAGACCTACAAGCTGGGGAACTCCCTTCTTGTCAGCACAGAGGCAGAAAAGGATCTTGGTGTCATTGATTCCAAAATGAACATGGGCCTCCAATGTGGGGACACAGTCAGGAAGGCCAACTGCACCTTGTCATGCATCCACAGATGCATCACGAGCAGGTCCAAGGAGGTGATCCTCCCCCTCTATGCGACATGGGTCAGGCCACAGTTGGAGTACTGCATCCAGTTCTGGGCGTTGCACTTCAGGAGGGATGTGGACAGCATGGAGAGGGTCCGGAGGAGGGCCATTCGCATGATCGGGGGCAGCAGGGCAGGCCCTACGAGGGAGGCTGCAGGACCTGAACCTGTTCAGCCTCCACAAGAGAAGGCTGAGAGGGGATCTAGTGGCTGTCTACAAACTGGCCAAGGGGGACCAGCAGGCCATGGGAGAGTCCCTGTTCCCCTGAGCACTACGGGGAGTAACAAGGAATAATGGCCATAAGTTGACTGAGAGTAGATTCAGGCTAGGTATCAGGAGGCACCACTTCATAGTCAGGGCGGCTAGGATCTGGAGCCAACTTCCAAGGGAAGTGGTGCTGGCTCCTACCCTGGGGGTCTTCAAAAGGAGGCTAGATAATCACCTAGCTGGGGTCGTTTGACCCCAGCATTCTTTCCTGCCCATGGCAGGGGGTCAGACTTGGTGATATGCTCAGGTCCCTTCTGACCCTACCAACTATGAAACATGAGCTAAGGTTTTCAGTTAGAGCTAAAAACAGACTGCAGGGCAGGGCTGTGAAATAAGAGAGAGAGATTACCAGGAATGGCTAACAGACATCGACATCAGCAGAAGCAAGGGAAGTTTGACATCAGGACCATTAAAATGGATAGCAGTTTTTAACACCTGTGGAGTGGAGAGCAATTATCAGGTATCAGGAAGAAGGTAATGAGCCATTAAGTTAATCCCAGGCAGTTGGCTTTTAGTTTGGATGGAGGAGGAATCAAAGGGGGGATGGATCTGTATTACTATACCTCAGGGGTTGACAACCCCCATCTGCATTACTGTACCCTCTCTGGATTTGCCCCTGCTAGGTTCTGGATGAAACCAATGGATTGGCCCTAGGAGGATGGATGAGTTTGATTCCCCCCAACCTTAAACTCACCATCTCCAAAATATCAGAACAAGAAGCTGCTCATACCAGGACAAAACGCTTCTCATACAGGTGTTCCTCTGCTCTCTGCAGACTTATGTAAGCATTTTGTCCTTTGCCCATATTCAGGGTCTTTCCAGATGGTTTTCATTAAGAGAAAAAAAAACCCCAATTCTCTGAGTCAAGTATTTTTTTGGTTCAATCCTGAATACTCACAAAGAAGGAAGGCAGCATATTTCCCTGAACATGACAGAAACAGACCACAGCAAAGTCTCACAGTTCCCAAGCCTGGCTTTCCAGTTCTGTATCCCAAGGACCTCATGTCCTTCCTCTCTCTTGGGGTTACTCTCACAACTTCTTTCGCTGTGTGCTAGCCTTTTGCTTGCTCTTTCTTGACTTTTTGCTTCTGCACTCACTCTCTCCTCAAACCCTAGTGTTTGCAATTAGTCCTAGGAAATCCTCTAAGGCCACACAGCTGAACCCTGCTCAGCCTTTGCCATGCAGCCCAGTGCCTTGGATGGTATCCTCTTCAGCTATCCTGCCACATGGGTGTTTAAAAACAGCAAACTCTAAAGGAGTGTGGTTAACACACTTTTTTGACTTGAGTGAGTTCTGTGATTAGCTCTAAATCAAACTCCCTTGGTCTCCCTAGCTCCCTAGGCCTCTTCATGGGCCATTTCCAGACTGCAGGGTCCTCACTGGCTAGATCAGGATGCACATCCAGTGGTGGTGCAAGCAGTGGCTGCCATGGGTTCATGAGCCCCAGCATTGGCTCAGTGACCTGTAGGGATTAGCACAGTAAAAATACGCCCCCCCAGCAGGGCCTCTTACCCCAAAATTTGGTGATGGGCTCTGCTCCCAAATTTCCAGCCCTTCCAAGGAGCCCTGCAGGCCAAATGAGAGCCTGGTGGTGTGTGTCAAATTTGGCCCATGGGCTGTGTCTGATACTCTTTCTCTAGATAACAAATTTTGCTTGCTAACAGCCATTAATACCATCAGAGGAATACAGTATTGCCCATCCCAAACATTAAGGAAATTATGATCCAGGTCATAAAAAACTTTGAGTTTTATTATAATGATGATGATCCATTTGAGGCTAGTTCTTGAGTCTTTATAGTGCCCCTGGTCCCATGTGCCAGCTTGTTTTTGCAAAGATGAGGGCTAAACACTTGATTGATTGATTTACTTAAATTAATGCCAGAGTCTCACTTAATCCCCTAACCCTGGAGTGGGGCTTTGACAAAACCACCCAGTGCCACAATTTGTGCCACAAAATGGTGGGGCTGCTAGCATTGCCCATGTCCCACAAAGCCTTGCACAGGGACCCAGGAGAGATCCAGAACTGAGGTGGCTTCCACCTCTCCTCTGGGCACTTTGCTCTGAGTATTCCCTCCCTCCACGCATCCCCTAATCTTCTTTCTTTTATCTAGGAGAGACAAAGCTTTCTTTGGGTAGCATCTTTTATCAGACCAATTGCATAACTGGGACGCTTAGCCAAGCTTGCAAATGCAAAGGCACTTTCCTTATCCACTGCATCCCCCTCCCTCTCACTGTGCAAGGCCCTCGGGGGCTGGAGGAAGAGGTGGAGTCCTCTCTCCCGGGCAGAACTACATTTCCCATGCTGCCCCGCGCCCTAACAGGAAGGCGTCTCACGTGACCTCTGCTATAAGGGCCCAGGCGGCGCCGCTTCGCCTGCTTAAAGGGGCCGCGTCGCTGGAGTGTCCTGTGGGAAGAGGTAGGGGGGTCTTTGTGGGGTGCATGGCGGGAGGGCACCCGGCACACCGCAGGCAGCTGTCTGGGCAGTGGCTGGGGAGATTGCTGCTCCTTGCCTGCGCCAGGGAGGCCCCTATTCAGGCAGCACCTTCAGTTCATCGACTCCTTGGGGCGTGTTGATCGCACGGAGCCAGCTGGAGCTGGGCTGTCAGCGGCGCCCAGCACTGCAGCTGGACAGGGCTTGGGGGACAAGGAGCCCAAGGGCCTGTGCGGAGCCAGTGGATGGGGGGCTCCATCGGAGGACGTGGTCTTGGGTGTCTCAATGGGTTGGGTTGGGTGGGGTCCAGCTCTGGACTGTGCATTGCTAGAAGTGGGGGGAGAGGCAAAACACAGGGGTGAAGGAGTCTCCCTGGCACCTGCTATGTGGCAAAGGGCATCCAGAGCAGATTAGTTGCCCCAAAAGTGACAAGCAGCAGGAGGAATGGAGCAGGCTTGTTCCCCTTTCTTGGCTGCAAAACGGTATTTTCCCTAAAAACCAGCCACCTGGACTTTTTGTCTCCCTTAGAAGGGCCTCTGGTGAGGGGAGCTATGAGATCTCAGCTAACCAGGGAAGTGAAACCTTGAGGGAGGCTGTCTGCCATCAGCACAGCAGTGCAGCAGGTGGCACGGATGGGGCTTTTGGCATAAAAGTCCATAAGCCAGTATGAGGTCTGTGAGCAGCAAGTAGGTGTGGGGGGATGCAGCTGATGGTAATTTCCCATTAAAACCGTCTAAAACCCTTCCCCCTGCAAGGTTTTGGACTGCTTGTCCAACAGACACTGAGGAGGGAAGCATGTTTGACTTCTGCCCCGTTGATTAAGGAAGGGATGTGAGTGCAGCTGGGGATGTATTTCTGAGTCATGTGGAAAGTTTTCTAGCAAAATAAAACAAAATCTGGTATTTCCATGTTTGTATGGAAATGTACATGTTTTCATGTTATATTTTTTAAAGGGGAGAGGCAGGGCCCCTCTTTTCTGTCGGGGTGAAGTCAGGTTGCCTTTATATATGCCAAAAATGACATAAAGGCCTTCTCTTAAGTTCAAGGCTGTACTAATAGGATTTGAAATGGCTTTGAAAACTGATAACAGCTATGGACTGAAGTGTACATATCTTAGCACTGAGCATCAGAGATCAGTCATGAAATCAGATTTGCAGTTCATGAGACTTGGACAGAATAAGTATTATGGTTTTGGATTCTGGTTTTTGTGCATTTACAGCTGAAGCTTTCAAGGTTTGTCTCTTCCTTAGATGGAGAAAGTCTCTAAAAGAATAAATAAATGCTAAGATACTTGCATATGTAGGATTCTAGGGAAAAATGTTAAATACCATCTTATTTGGTATTACTGTTCAAGTCAACTTCAAGTTATTTGGTTTGGTTTAAGTTGACTTGTTGCCATTGTAAAATAAATTGATACAAATTAAACTGGAGTTGGATTAAGAATAACCTGGTGCAGCTTTGAATAGAGATGTAGTTAAATGACACAAGCAAACTTCTTTACCAGTTTTGTTTTTTTTTTTAAACCAGTAACCAAACTCTGGCAGCTTATGAGTGATACACTGCAGCACCAAATGACTTAAAGCAATACTGACAGCAAGCAAAAGCAAAACTTAATTGATTTTTTTTTTCTTTTCTTTACTTACCATTGTCCAGTCTGGCAGAGAGATTAAAAAGAGCAAGTAAAAGCAGGATGGCTACTGGATTTTAAAAATTAACTTTTAATTCAGTGGAGGTTTAGGTAAATGAATGTGCACCTTTCTAACAATTCTTAGATTGGCCATCTCCTGTTGTAGCACAAATCAGTTCCTATGCAGTCTAGGCATAGGTGGGTCTAACTTGTGACATCCTTGTTTTAAAATAATTATTTCTGAGCATTTGGAATCTAGTCAGTGGAAGGGGGGGGGCGCTAAGAACTCTACACTGCATGTCTGATAGTGTAGATGCAGCTTATGTGCCTCACTTAGTTCTTTATCTATTTAACCTCCTAGGGAAGGCCAGACAGCAGTACATCCTTCAACACTGTCAGGCATTCGAGTCTTAATGAGGGATTTCAGATAAATTACGGAACTTAAAAAAAATAATAGGGAAGGGCTCTGCACAGTAGTACCACAGGAACCTCCCTGGGTATGGAATACACTAGGTAATGATGAGTGCTGTCTACAGGTCTCCCCTTTTTCTCTCTGCCTCTTTCATCTCTTCCACCTAATTATTTGTCTTGATCCTGTTTCTCGCATCTCTGGCTCCCAGCTGATTAGGGTGCATGTTCTGGTTGCCTCTTATGCCGTGTGTCCCCACTGTTGTTTTTCTTTGTAAGACTCATTTGGTTGCTGGAAAATTAAATTCCTTTTCCTACCAATTATGTGCCATTTCACTTAGCATGGGCTGATTCTCTTTTTTCCCCCTTCTGTGTTTTTAATCTCACTGAGCCACCAGGGCTGTCGCACAAAGAAAGCAGTTTAAAAGCAACAGCATCAACAATGCCTCTCTAGGGAGAAGAGGGAACATAATGGTCAACCTCTCTGCTGATGCTATTCTGTATAAGTGCTTATCCCACACACATCGCCACAGTATCTGAGCGTCTTCCATTATTGCATTAAGTGACGTGACTAATGTGCCGCATGTGGTTCGTTCTCTCACATCCTCTCCCTGGTGGGGAGGTGTGAATTGTGTGTGCAATGAAGTGTTGTTGGGGTAGGGGTTATTTCCCCCCTTCCCCCTATTTTATTGCAGTGCAAACTTGAACCCGCCATGGTGTAATCAGCCCACAGCAGTGGTGTGATGATCAGCCTTTAGCAAAACCTCAATTATCCAGATTTGTCCAGGAGCTGCTGTTACTGGGAACAAGGTCACGTCTCCTGCTGTGTATCATGCATGTTTAAAACTGCTTCTTGGTCTGCTTCTCTCTGCTCTGCCTTACTGAGATTATTGTGACGCTCCTCAATTTATATTGGACAACTGAGGTTTTGCTGTCAAGAAAGAGAAATTTTTGGAGGTTAACTTCTTTTTTTCTTTTTTTAGTGAGATCAGGGATGCACATTTTTTTTCCCCCTCCATCCCGCAACTGCTGGACATCCAAAATTGAGGCTGTGTTTTCCAAAGAGCCCCGCTCCCCTTTGAGATACTTGATTAAACTCTGGAATTGCTCAGTGTCCCTGTGAGAGCAGGGCAGTGCTGTGCACATCTGGAGATCTGGCCTGTATCAGCAGGCCTTGCTGGGAAGCTCAGTTCTGAGAATAATGGTCTGAACTGCAAAAGCTCAGTGAGTTGGGACTAGCTGGAGAGGGACCTTCCCTCTGGGGCGAGGCAGTTTTGTGCCTTGGCAGCTTAGACAAATTCCCATGCACAAAGTCCACCCCAAGTTGTTAAAAACCAACTGCAAGCAAATTGACTGAAGTAGGTGAAGCCAGGATACCCTGGATGAGCTTGCAGACCTCCAGCTCTTCCTGATGAGCAGCTCTGAGACTGTCTGCAATAGATAATACAAAACCTACTGGGTTAAGAGTCTTAACTCTGAAATAGGCAGGGTTCCACTACCTGGGCTGCTGCAACCATTTGTTGCATTAATTTTCTTCTCTGGCTACCCCCTTCCCCCCAAGCGCTAAGACTCAAAAGTTAATTCTATTGTTGTTGCAGAGCAGGAACTGCAAACCTCTTACTTCAGAAGCATTTAATGGCACATCAAATCAACTGACACCGGCCAGTAGGACTTAGAATTGCCAAAGGGCTGCAACAAAGGAAGTGGTTTGTGTGATGGTACTGTGCTAATATCTTCATTCTGTGACATGGCCAAGGGGTAAAGCTTAAATTCACGATCCTTAATTGGCACCTCTCATTCAGGGATTTCCAAGTCCTTTACAAATGTTTGTTCAACCCTCTCTCCTGCTCTGGGGAAAAGATCATCTTACCTATTTATAAATATAGTGCCCAGCACCATGGGTTTCTGGGGTTCCCAGGCAGTACCATAATGAAAGCTAGGGAAATTGAGGCACAGAAGTTTGTGCTTGCCCAGGATCACATAGCAGATCATTAGAAGAGCAAGAAACAATCCTGATTTGCAAGCTTGTGCTCTAACTAGAAGGTGACAGTACCTTTATTATATAGTTTATCCAAATAAGCTGGGAGCCCTGCTTGTGAAAGGCAAGTGGGATTCTTCTAGGAAGGTTACATTTATGTGGGCAAACTGTGTGTACAACTTTATTTTACTTCCTTTTATGCACTGATAAGACAGAACTCTGTTGGGGGCAGGAGGCTGTGAAACCACATGAAATCTTTCCTCTTGTTTGCCATAATGTCATCACTGCCTGCTAACGTGAGCTTTTTATTAAAACGTATTGCAAAAGTCAGCTGAGATCTCGGCACAGGCAGAAAATGCAATAACTTCTCTTATGGCTTCTTAAAACAGCTTAGACCCCTGATTCCTAACCAGTGCACCACAGCATTCTGGGGTGCTATGTAATATTATCACTATTAGGTATGCAAATGCATGCACATGACTCGCAAGATAAAACCAAAGATTTAAAATAGGAATTTTAGTGTCAAAACCATTCTGACCTGCTGTGGGCTTTCTGAGTTGTTTGCAACATAAGAAGTACTCTATTGTTGGCAGTCAAAACAGTGAGGGCTGGCATTTTTCCAAAGGGGGCTTTGAGTCTAAAAAGGTTGAGAACTGCTGGTTTAGACTGTCCTTAGCCCATCACAGAGGTTCTCTTCAACCCAGAGAGTCCAAGTGTTTGGCTTTTACTTTTCTGTCTCAATAGGTTGTGGTTTAACAGCCACAAAACTGTGGCATGCAACTCTGCTTGAACTCAGAAGAGACAGTTTGGGTTCATGTTTTGTTCCTGAAGAATCAAGGACTAGACAAGTTGCCTGTCATCACAAATCATTTATAGACTTGGATGATCACATCACATCTGAGAGCTACAGTTGGTGGGCCCTATACAAACAGTTCTGTTTCTGGCTAGAAATGTAGCCCTGCTGCCCAGACATCTATCACAGCAAGGTTACAAGTTACTTTGGGAAGCGGCAAATCTAAAAGGCCCCTGGAACAGGTTGGAAGTCCAGGGAGCTGATGTCCCTGCCTCTGTCTCTTTCCAAGGAACAGTGATGGAGTTCACGTGCAGTGCAAAGGTCATTAAACCTATGTGTCAACAACAGGGACTCTTGTTCGCCCTATCTGACCAAAGGTCCTATGTCACTTTTCCTGCGAGCACAAAGCTGGCTGAAAACTACTCAGCAGCTGGTTGCCACTCTCCTGCCTCAGAAGTGGCTACGTTTCCCTAGTACTAAACATACAGAGCTGTTGAGAAGGGTTGCAGCAAGGTAACATAACTTGGTTTTGGTGCGTTCTAACAAGCTGTGCTGCCAGGCATAGGTCTCAACTGGAGGGAGCCCAGGTCTCAGTAAGAGATGCATGCTTAACTGCAAAAGCTGGGAGCACATTCTCTGCATCTCGCCTGGGCTAAGCAGCTGTCCATGGAGCTAGGGTCTCCCAAGGTGCAATGCTGAACCTAACTATGCTAGGTGACTCCCTGGAGTTCATAGGATTTTTTGGAGGGCAGAAGGTGGAATTCCCTTGAGAAAAACAGCCTTTACATTGACCAAGCTTGTGAGGCAGCACTGGCTAGCTGGGCCCTTCTGGCTCAAACACCATGCTTCTTGCTGCTGCATCTGAGCCATCCTAGAATCTCCTGAAATGTTCTTTGGGGTCACTGGGCAGAGTCCTGTTTTGAGGGGGAAGTGAGAAAGGGTGAGCCCTACCTATCTTTAAGCACCTCTGCAATTCTGTCTAGATGCAAGAACTGTGTGATGGCACCAAATGATATTCCCCCCCCCGGAATCTCCATTTCACCCATCCTCTGTATATTGCTTGTTGACCCCCTGAATTTCTTGTCTTCCAGGCAAAAAAGAAATGTGGAGTGACACATGCAGACTCCTTGGTCTGGCAGGGAGGGGAAATAAGAGGGGAATATCACCTAGAACTAAACACATGAGCCTCTGTAACAGATCTAGGCTCTGACAGCTGAGTGAGTGTTGGACCTACCTTATCTAAGCAAAGATCTGTTTTTTCCATATTTGCAGATGCTTCCCTTTGCGTTTAGGCTGTAGGATGTTGGAGAATCACGAGGAAGAAGTAAGTTACTTCTTAGTTCCTTCCACATCTGTTTAGTTCTTCCATGGGGATGGCAGAGCAGGGGTACACAAAGCAGCATTGCCAGGACTTAAATATGAAATTATCATATTGGAAACTCAGAATTATCACATTTGCTGAAAAACTATCATACACTGAAAAAATATGCAAATAAATTGTCATCTTATACACTTTATCTTGCTCCCTGTAAGTCACCAGTGAGTAAGAACTGGGTCATCAAAGTTGAAGCATTTCTTTATTTTGAGGCAAGCAGTCATAAGAGTGCTGACAGCAAGCCCAAAAGTCAGTTAAAACTCTTTGAGAGTGACTTGGGTTTTGCATTTGGTGCATCAGAGAGCTGCCTCAAATTATTGTACATTTTGAACACTTTTACTATTATTGATTCTACATCGTATAAAGGTTGAAATTCATACAAATACAATAACTATCATACACCCGGCAACACTGACACAAAGCATTCTACTAAATGATATACCTGAAATGGTTAGTTCTGGCAAAGGGCGAGCTCTGCATGTGGGTGATCCTTAGCTAGTTCCTACTGGTGTAGTGTGGAAGGTTTTGTAAGGTCAGAGAGCAAATGTTGAGGTACAGCGGGGGCTGGAGCTTGTGCGAGGTGCTTGTGCAGGAAATCTGCCTCATCATTTGGGCTCTCAGGGTAAGAGAGGATTTGTAGCTTGTGGGAATTGGCAGGTAGAATGGGCCTCAGGAGATGGCTATACACACCTGCCCTGGGGCTCCTTTTTCCTCCATAGGCTTCTCCAAGGTAGCACCATTGGGGCAGTAGCTGCTGCCAGCTGCGGGCTGTGGCTGGGTTATGGATTATTAGAATGAGGTTGTTCTGAGCATCTCCTCCTTTTGAGTAAGGATGACATTTCTTCGCCCCTCAGGAGCTGACCACAGTGCGTGTACAGGACCCTCGGGTACAGAATGAAGGCTCCTGGAATTCCTATGTGGATTATAAAATCTTCCTTCATGTAAGTGCAGAGTAGGTCCTGGGGCAGAGAATGGAGCTGGTCAGCTGAGCCCAAGTGCCAGGACTTGAGCCCCTAATACAATACCATGTAATCATTTATACCAATGTAGAACACTATTGTTCTGATCAGGTGCTATTTCACTTGCTTTGCCTTGGTGTAAGAAACCCCATGTGGTGCAAATGGAAATCTTGGCATGGTCAATACAGCCCCTTCTATGTCTGAACTCAAGTGTTTTGCAGTTTACTTTCTGGGGGTCTCTGAGAACTTCCAAGAGCAAAGTACCCTCTGCTCTGTATAGACCTTCAATATCCCAAGAAGCAGTGGTTGGTGTGAAGCAGCTTAGGTGGTCTCTTGCCATCCTCTAGCTGTAGCTATGCAGTTTGTAGCTGCCTTATCTTGACAATGGTAACCATGCAGGGCAGTGATTCTCAAGTAGGTGCTTCTGTACCCCAGGTAGCACACAATCTTTTTAAGGGTGCTGTCGTCAGTTGTGCAATATTAACACTGTTAGGTGTGCAGTCACCTACACATGATTCACAATATAAACCCATATATTTCAATTAGGAATACATAGGGTGCATCTACATGTTGCTGTATGGCGATGTTGCTATGGCGCTATGCTTTAGTTTCTTCCTTTTGGAAGTACTAAAGCACAGCTCAGTACAAGCAATTACTAACCCATGTGGGCAGCGCATGCTTAGGTTTCCAGGAGCGTACCGCTACAGTGACGTAGCTGGCGATCGCGTGTAGACCCACGTGATCACTATGTTGCCATAGGGCGATGAGTAGATGTACCCATTGTGTCAAAAGCACTCTGTCCTGGGGCCACAACTGTCCTGGGAGTGGGAGGGAGGCACATGCACCCTCAGGAGCCCTGGGAGTAGGGGGCCACAACTGTCCTGGAAGTGGGAGGGAGGCATGTGCACTACAGACCACCCAACCAGGGGGAAGAACTGGATCAGGACTTCTCCAGTCAGCTTATGGAGGCAGTTAGGTCAAGGGATGTTATTGTCATAGGTGACCTAAACTACCCAGACATTTGCTGGGAGGAGCAGACAGCCAGGTCTGAGCGCTCGCGTAGGTTCCTGGCTGTATTACAGGACCTTCAACTTATCCAGGAAGTGCACAGCCCCACTAGGGGTAACACCTTGCTGGACCTGGTCCTGGCCACGGGGGATGACCTGGTGAGGGGACTGCAGGTCCTTGACCACCTGGGCAACAGCGATCATCGCCTGCTGGATTTCACTATCCAACACAGAGCGTCAAGGGCTTACACCAAGGCTAAAGCCCTTGACTTCAGAAGGGCCAACTTCAATGAGCTTAGGAGATTAGTGGGGGAGGCACTGAAGGCCCAGAAGGTAGAGGAGATGGGAGTCCATGAGGGATGGTCGTACCTTAAGGGG